GGTAAGATGAATGATCCTGTAAGATGAATGGGTGCTGGATGGACCACTTCTAGTAGCCGTGGGAGGCTTTGTCGCCCTAGACGCCAACCTAGCCCTCAGACAGGCCCTCTGCTGCTGCCCAGGGACCCTCAAGCCACCACCATCACAGGTGCCCCTCTGAGGCTCAAACTACCCGGTCCGCAGCCCGTGCCCCGCGGTGGGGCTGTAAGAGCTGGATTCCTCGAGGGCTTCTTTGTCTGTAGGTCACCCTAAGGGTCCTTTTCGCCCGGCCTGCCCCTCGGTGACAGGAGGAAGACGTGCGAAGGGGCGGCACGCTCGCTCCCGCCCGCCGGTGCAGGTGCGGGTGGACCGGCAGGTACGCGGACTTTCTGGAGGCTCCGCAGTGACTCAGGCTCCGCGCCCGCTCCTTGACTCATCCGCCGCCGTCAGTCGTTGGCATCCGAACTGCTGAGCTGTCAAGGGGGTGTCACAGGTTTGGGGGGAGGGGTTGCGGAGGGAAGTCAAAGAAAAAGAAAACAACACGCATTGGGTTTACATCTCTAGGCATCTTGAACCCAAAGCTTTAAGCCTTCTCTTTAAGGGGCTCTTGTGATCATCACAAGATGATCATCACAAGCCCACTCGGCCCACCAGCCGGTCGCCCCGAGGTGACCAGAATACCCAAAAGTTCTGTCTGCCCCCCAGACAAAAATACAGCATCAAAGGCCTTTGGGGGATGATCTTAAAAGGCTGAGACTGGAGGTGTTTGGTCACTTTTGCCTCCCTGAGGAGAACAAGAGGGAAGACATTTTAAAAAGCTTTAAAATAAGGCGAATTTCATCTCTCTATGAGAGAACAAAACAGAACCAATTCGGCGTTAAGCACTTAGAGGTTCAAATCTTGCTTGAGGAAGGTATCTTCCCAGTACTAAGGTCCCCCCCACCCCACCCCGAACAATGTAGCTAGTGGCTTATTTTTGACATGCCAAGATCAAACTAGCCAAGTCTGTTACAGAACACACCTGCTCCTCCTCCCTTCTTCCTTCAGTCCAGTCAGTGACTCAGCGGCTCAGATGCATCCCTCTCCAGATCCAAGCCTGGGTGTTTTACAGAAGGCTGGTTGCCAGAAAAATCTCTATTAAGTAACAAGGAACTGGGCCTTTTCTTGGATTATAGGAAGGAATTTGCCATGAAGACTCTCCTCATTGCAAAGAGGAGGGAGGTGGACTGAAATAGTTTGTGTTTGAGTTCTGATGTATGTGTAAAGATCTTTAAAAAATAGGAAGGTATCCATTTGTCTGAGATGGGCTTTGGGTCTCCACTCTGCACTCCCCCTCATTCACACTAAATGATTTTTGGTTCTGGGTCATTAATACCTGATTCCTGATCCCATTGTCAGGACACCGCATGATCACACAGGCTGGTGTGCTTCTTCCATGTGGCCTTTGTTGCTTCTCAGCTAGATGCCCGCTTGTTTGTCCTCAAGCCTTTAAGACCCCAGATGCTATATTTTTTGATAGCAGGGCACGATCAGCATTCTTCACCACCTTTGCTTATGCACCCATTTTGTCTTCAATGACCTTGTCAGGAAGGTGAGCATCACGGAATGCCAGGTTATTAGAACAAAATGTTCTTGCGTTGAGGGAGTACTTGAGTAGAGGCCCACTGTCTGTCTGCTACCTTGATACTTAACGTAAATATACACATAGATCTATTTCCCTATCTGTTAGAGTAACCAGCCTCTGTAACCAGTCGTGTGGGGGTGGGTGTCCGTAGGCGCAGTTGTATGGCTATAATATATAAAGATTATAGTAAAAATCATAAAAGATAGGAAAAGTAGAAGAGAAGGTAAAATAAAGGAGTCAGACACAGTTTATGGTAGCATGCTCACCTCTGGAATGGCCATGAACTCAGCAGCCAGATCCCTGCAGAGAGGGATGAGGAGAGAGGAGAGGGCCTCTTTATTTCCGACCAAGGCCTATATGTACTTAGGGGTGTGCAAGCCCCCGATTACAGGTAACCACATACATCACAGGAAGGGGTTGTATAATAGGTATACATGTCACAGGAAGGAGATGAGCTAGGGGTGTACATGTAATAGGAAGGGGAGGGATTAGAGGGTACACACATGACAAGATGGGCAGACCCTAGATTCAAGATGTCAGCCTAACTTGGTCACCCTTGAATGGGCTCCAACTTGTCTCTGGGCTCTCCGTCAAGGAAACAATGCACTATCTTTATCGGGGTGGGCCCCACTGACGTGTGACAGACAATAGTCTGATTGCTCTCTCTATATGGCTGAATGCCCTCAGAGAGATTAACCTCAGCAGCTTGCATTGATCCCCAAGTATACAGTCATTTACCATGTGGTGAAAGCAGCTTCCTATATATTTAGGGGAAAAACAACCTGGGGAAAAACCCTTTTGCATCCCTCACCTATCATTATATATACAAATATATTTACATATGTGCACTCCTGTATTTAGACCTCTACAAATGCCCTTTGTCTCCTAATTCTTTTCTCTATTTCAGTGGTTCTCAAACTCTGGATCGTGACCCCTTTGGGGGTCTAACGACCCTTTCACAG